CTTAGTTTTCAAAAAGTAAGGGAATTTCCTAATTACGTTCTGATTTGAGAACATACTCTGATTCGGTCCTGAAATTTATTGAGATAGATATTGTGGGCCAGATTTTGTGTAGTCATTTTGTGCGTATTTCATGTATATTTGAAAAGAATATTCTGTAGTTGTTGGTTACAATATTCTATATATGTCAATTTCAAGTTTATTATATTGTTTAAATCTTCTAGCTCATTAGGTTTTTTGCATGTTTGCTTGTAGCATTGTATTTAAAATCTCTTGTAGATACATACTTTCATCTTTTAGTTTTTTTAATTTTGGCTTTTATATTTTGAAACTGTGATTAGGTTGATAAAAATTTAGAATTGTTATATTTTCCTGGTAGGTTGATCATTTTAATCATGCATCATTAGTATATAATATTGCAGTGCCCACCATTGTATCTTTTTAGATTTAAACATTTAGACTCTCAAAACTATCACAGACTACAGTCTGCAACTGCCTACACAGAAAGATACAGGTCAGGAAACAAAGCTTGCCAGCCGGGAGCATCACACATTTTGCCTACCAGTTAAGGAAGCATTCTCTTTGGTCACCTGCAATGACAGTTTTGTTGTGATGGAACAAGGCTCACTTGGGTGTGTTATGAGCCACTTTGACCTACACGCCCTATTCCACAATAGCACATATCTCTTGTAACAACCCATGACCATAGCTTATATGTGTTCTGCAAGGAATGTATAGACATCATCACACTAAAAGAAATCTGTAGCTTTTAGTGCTACTACAACATGCATTCTTGACTTACTAAAACCTGCTGTAAATTAGTACTGGTACTAATTTCCCAATAATATGAGGACTTTGGAACTCTTACTCCATTTACCCTCTTTCATCTTATGTACTGTTGTGTGTTTTATTTCTAAATATATACTAAATCCCATAAGAAGTATTATTACTGCTTTCTGCAACTAATAATGCATTTAAATTAACTCACATGTTTTCCTTTCTTCCGTTTTTCCAAACTGCCTCTCCATGTTTCCATTTGTGTTAATTTTTCTTCTCTTCAGTATTTTTCCAATGCGAGTCGACAGCTGACAAATTGTCTTTCAGTTTCATTTGTCTAGAA